CTTTCCATGTTTCTCTCTTTTGTTCGATGTCTTTGGGAAACGTGGACTTTGAATATATGATGGAAAGGTGCGCAGACGCATTGCGAATTTCAGCTCACCATCACAATTTTCACTAGTACCACTACCATCACAATTAGACATTTTACATCACTGTTCTGCAAAGAACCAGATCAGCCGCTATACTTTTTTTACTTTTTTTTTCTTTTACTCTCTTCTTCTTCTTGCCACACATTTCCTACGACACACAGCAATCATCCAATTGTGGCCTTTTCCTGTGTGTATCATTAGTGTTTAAAACAGTGGTTCCCAAAGTGGGCGATATCGCGCCCCTAGGGGCGCTGGAAAGATTTTGGGGGGCGATAAGGAAGAAAAGGGCGGAAGGGGGGCGGTAGGGGAGGCGGCAGTCCGAAGTCAGAACTTCGAACGTTTGTTTGACGATTTGTACACAACACGTGCAGCACATGACTCAAAGCGATGATTTTTTTTCACCCAGATCTGTTTTTTAACCTCTCCTGGGTTTACGTCTCGGACAAATTAACGGCCGAACTCGCGGCCGGTCTCAAGCCAATTTCAAAATTCAATGATCAAGGAATATCTCTTAAACTAATGAAATTAACTCGATGAAACTTGGTACACGTATTCATTAGCTCCTAATGGTATTATTTCGCTCGTGAAATTTTTTTTAATTTGGCCTTCATTTGTTTTTGCTATAGTTATATGGCAATACGGGCCGAAATTCACAGTGATATACGTAAACGGCTCTTGGTTAAACCGCGGCCGGTAGAAAAGCCGGTCGTTTCTCCTATATCTGTATAACTTACGAACGCAACCAAAATAGAAAAATTGTCACGATTAACAACACCGTTGGGAAGTTAGGTATTTATATACAAAGTTTCGTTGAAATCTGTTCAGTAGTTTAGAAGAAATTTTTTGATCGCCGCGAATTTAAGCGACAAATTACCCGGCGATACGGGCCGAATATAAGGAAGTGTGAAATCAAGAATGATGGTGAAATAAAAAAAACTCGCAAACGAAGGTAAAATCAAAAAATTTGTATAAGCTAAAATATCACCGTTTGGTAGTTGGGAATGTATATTCAAGATTTCGTTCAAATCTGTTTAGTAGTTTGGAAGAAATTCTTTGATCACTGCGAATTTCGGCCTGTATAATCGCAACATAACTCATGAATGAACGTGAAATTTAAAAATTTTCACGAGCTAAACATCACCGTTAGGTTCTGATGAATACATATTCCATGTTTCATTGAGCTGCGTTCATTAGTTTGGGAGATATTCCTTGATCATTTGGGAGATATTTCTTAATCCTAATTTGGAAATTGGCCGTGAGACCAGCCACGAGTCCGGCCGTAAATTTACCCAAGACGTCCTAGGTTTCTTGTGCTGAAACAGTCAAAACAGCTGGAAAACATATTGGTTCATTAAATGGGGTTCTATTTGTTAAATACACATTTGTGTTTTACCTTTATCTTTTAAAATTGCCGCGTAAAACATTTCAAGAAAGAGGCGTATGTTTTTATATGTGGTGTCTGTGGGGGTCGCTAGAAATTCACTAGGGAGACAAAGGGGGCGCCAGCCTGAAAATGTTTGGGAACCACTGGTTTAAACAATCTTACATTAGTTTTACCTAGCCAAAAAACCCTAACCTAACCTAACCGAACTGAACACAGCCTGACATATCCTAACCTAATCATACCTCACCTAACCCTACTTCACCTCATTTGCGAGCGCTGCCTACTCCAGCAGGACACCGATGGTCATCATACGTCGCAATACGGCTTGAGCGAAATTCTACTTGAAATCTTGTTTGACGGCAGAAATCGAGGGAACGCCAGGGCCCTGAGCTCAACACGTACTCGAGGACCATAAAAAGGGAATTTTTGTTTTATTTTCTTTGTAATTTGTTTGAATTTCCTTCAATGCTGTACGTTACCGAGTTAAAAGACCTTGAAAAAGCAAAAAATCAATCCCCTACGAAAAATCCGTATTGGACGCAGTGGTGGACTTCAATTTAGTATAAATGTATAAATTTATTAATAAAGTATAAACTTCAATTTAAATTCAGAAAAGTATTAATGGACATTTTATGATTGAACATTATTTAAAGAAAATGTATTTAATTAGATTTAAGAATAACCCATTCTAAATGAATTAATTATTAATTGCAGTTTTCAGTTAACATTGAAATTTAACAAATATTTGCTTGAAAAATACCTTCTCATACTGCGATTGATGGTTTTATCGGCAGAGCGAATATTATTCGACATTATATTATGTAAACAACTTTTGACTTAGCAACACGGTTGAACTAGTATAGTTTATCCATGATTCGATTCATTGTCGCGGAGACGAATCAGTAGTGCGACACTAAACATTGTAGAGCTACTTCGAAGTGCTTAGTGTCTGTGACGTATTTAGCATACCAACACTGGACACTTCGTAGTGCATAGTGCTACTTTGTAGTGCTAGTGCCCTATTTAGTTATGCCGTTATACGGGACCAAGCTAGAAATAGTGCGCTTGTGAATAAAGGTATTTGTTATCGATAAAAGTTCTAGTAAACTGTAAGTTAACGGCTCAATGTGCCTTTCCCCATACGAACCTGAGATGCATGAAGCATAATTAATAGCTACAATATGTATGGATACTTAAAATCATAGCAAATATAATTTAAGAGATGTAGTGACCCGCTGGACGATTGCAAAGTTTCAAAATAAATATGAGTTTTTTATAGACCTGCCGTTGGACGTAAAATACACATTTTAATCGACCGAATTAACACCTTTCGGAACTGACCAGTCAACTGACTCAAATGCACAAAACGAAACTCCAGTGCAACTCAAACGCTAATAATTTCCACAACGGATTTAACTTAAATTCAGAACATAAGTAATTAGTAGCAATGCGTGATGATAAAGAGAAGTGTTGAAAATGAAATTATTACAAATTTAGCGAAACTTCACTGCCACATCTATGTCGGCGATGTGGATGAAGAAGAGGATTGGGCCGAGTACCGTTCCCTGTGGTACTCCACTCATCACCCTAGCCACGCTCGATCTCGAGCCTCCAACAACTACAGCTTGTAGTCTTTCTGTTAGGAAGCTGTGGATCCATGCCAGCATTTCACCACCGACCCCAGTAGTCTTAATTTTCTGAAGAGCACTCCATAGTCAACTTTGTCAAACGCTTTCGCGAAGTCCAAATACACCACGTCCACCCCGGCGTCTTCCTCTATCACGGCCTGACCAGAAACCCACGCATAGAGCTGAGATCGAACCCGCGCCTCTCTAGTGAGTCAATCTTGGTACTCTGAACTTTAACCACTGGGCCACCCTGCCCAGTATTATAATAATAAATAATAATAGCGGTTTCAGCGTTTATTAGGCCGTGGGCCTGTCGCCGATTCTCAACATCGCAGAACATTCACAGCATTTTGCGGGTCTCGAACTCGCAACGTACTGCTACAATTCTGCTGTGCTTAACCGCCCGGCCTCCTTGCCGATTCTGACCAGAAACTGGCGCACAGAGCTGGGATCGAACCCGCGCCTCTCTGCCCCAATCTTGGTACTCTGAACTGTAACCACTGGGCCACCCTGCCCTGTAACCACTGGGCCACCCTGCCCAGTATTGAGTAACTATATTGGATTTTTGAGATAGCTTTTCTTATTTTTTTTTTATTTGAATAAGAGACACTAAATAGTTCATTGTTAGATTCATAGCTGTTTTTTGTCGTTGCAAAAGAATTCACCAATCACTATTGTGATTTTTGCCGTGGGAAATTGTAATGCAATCCGCAAACTGAATCCGGCTCATGCCCAGGCAACGTGCAGGACGAGGCACCATGAATTTGGGTGGCTTGCTGCTTAGTGCTTACGAAGCTACGATTTCCCGAAGTGACGTTATCAGGGAGAGGTGAGAATTTAGATCGTTCTCAAACGTGTCGAGCGTTTGCGACGTTACGTTGTCAATGTCTTGAATAATTGGATTGTTATGAATTGGGAAATATTAGGTGCGTTGCGTAGCTATTCCTGTCATGTGTTGAGAAACTTGAGAGTTGAGTAGAGGCTGTAGACCGTAGCGGGCGTTGATTAGTGTCACTGTCAGTGGACAGTGAGCCATAGGGGCGAAGTACCTAGGGCCTAGTGACTTTTAGACTCTTTAAGTTCATTTTTGAGTCCTATGAGTAGGTAGACCAGCAAAGTATTCTGGATACAACTTTACAAGCATTATCATACCTACTGTTATTCCTACATAAGATCATGGTTTAAGTTTGGAGTAGATATGGAAATTAAAAATGAAGCAATTCTCACTTCTAAACACTAAACAAGTAAACATTTTTCTAAAAGACACAAGATGTTCAAAAAACTCATGTTGGGTTGGGAGATAAAATCATTCAGGATCTGAACTTCTGAAGTGAAGGCAGTAAGAAAATAGGTATTGAAAAAATTCTGCAAAAACATGAAAAAAACATGTTTAGAAGCAAGAATTTTATAAATCAGAAAGGCGGGATTTTTGAAAACTTGGGCATGTATGATGTAGGCCTACCAACCTAGTCTGGAAAAGTCCTATTTTTGTCTGAAATATCGCGGCTCTAATATCATATAATTTCAGTAGGTATGAAATATCGCGGCTCTAATATCATATAATTTCAGTAGGTATGAAATCTCGCAAGGATGGACAAGACAAAGGATGGACAAGACGAAGGATGGACAAGATAAAGGATGGACAAGACAAATGATGGAAATGACAGAGGATGGACAAGACAAAGGATGGACAAGACAAAGGATGGAAATGACAGAGGATGGACAAGACATGAATGATACATTGCTGGTGGGAAATTCAGACATATTTTTTCCTATGGATCAAAATGCAACTAACATTTACAGAGGAAAGAAATAAGTTTCAGTAATTGAAAATGTTTTGAGATTTACCTCCATCATTTCTAAAAACAGAACAATTATGAAATGCTAAAAGAAGTGCATACCTTCTTGATGGCACCAAATGTGCCCTGCCCAACATCCCCAACTATGGTGAGGTCGGCAGGACGCATGACAGCAACACGCTGCTTGAGGCGGCTGTAGTGATCTGGCAGGTCCTCTTCATTGAGGAAGTGTGAGAGTCCATCAGAGGGCAGCTCTCCATTGTCATGACAGTTAGCAGTGAGCTCCTGCAAATAAAATATGTTAATATGTTGACATTATTTTATGGAATATATGCAGTAAACTCAACTTGTTAAATTTAAGTTATAAATGTGAAGAATAAAGTTGGATTACATAATACCAAATAGAGTAGCAGCAAATTATCAATGAATATAACACACACCAAAAAGCAAAAAAACAAAATAGTTTAAAAAATTTGCAATGCTATATACACAATTAGAATACACTGTAATAGTTAAATGACAAATTTTCATACTTTAGAGTGCTATTTCTGTAGCATTTCTTCAGGAGACCACTAAAGTATAATATTATCCAACATAAAGAAAAAATAATTTTTTTTGCAAAGAACTACCAGATGGATGTGAGAACTATAAGTAGGTTGAAGTTCCTGAGAATTTTTCTGACCTGATTATCAGGTCTTCTGGGAGAACGAAGGTAGACACGAAGAGCAATGTAGATCACAACAGCAATGAGCACAAGGCAGCCCAGCACTGCAACACTGATTGACAGTCCAAGAACAAGACCACCATTGTGCCGCACGGCATGGACCTGGCCAGGCTGCTCGTGATGCATGTCTCTACCATGAACAACTGAATGAGCTGACTCTGGGTGTGTTGCAAATGGGTTTCCAGTCTCACCTCCAAATTCAGAGCCTGAATGTTGGCCATGATCAGAAGCAGAATATGATTTTAAAGTTTTGTTCATTGTGCTGATCACACCAAGAAGAATGTGGTAGTCCACATTTGTTTTGAGTGGAGCATTATAATAATTGCCATAAGTTTTCTTATCTCCCACAGTAAAAACTGTAGGAAACTCATCAGCACTAAACTGGGCAGCTATATAATATGGCAGCTGTTGCTCCGATGCATTTTGGTAATTTGTCAGGGCTGAAGGATTCATGATCGCTCCAACAGTTTCATCAACAACCACCACCTGGTAAGCAGTGATTGGCCCGCCAGTAGGGCTCACAGTGTGCAACTTTACGTTGATGGTCTCAGGTGTTCTGCTTAGCATTTCAGGCTGAGTTGGTATTGGTGGGGGTGCAATGCTGGTCCAACCTTCAGTCGTGGCAGGCATGCTGAGCCCTGCAGTATTAGCAGCCCGTACTTCTATTGCGTAATGTGTGGCTGACTGAATACCATACAGCCATGCGCTGGTGATATCCGTCCCCAACTCCCAAGTGCGCACAATAGGAGGCTCTAAACCACTCAATGTTTCCAAAGGAGATGCAGTAACTTCATATTGAAGGATTTCAGAACTACCATCACTGAGAGGAGCATCCCAAGATATATACAAACCTGCTGAACTTGAGTTGAGTACTTTTAGATTAGTTGGAGCTCCTGGAACACTGCCTCCTGTTTCATAGACTGAAACTGCCTTACTCCCACCACACATGTTTTGTGAGTCATTGATGCATTCAGAGCAATCATCAGAAGCTTCACCTCTGAATGTGAGTCCACACATGCACTTATTCCCTGCCACAACACCAGCATAACGATACTGATTTTGGTGACAGGCTATTACACAAGATCTAGCACCAGTCACTGTACCATCTACAGTATACTTCAGAGTGTGATTGTTTGCATTGTCTTGAGGTAAGTGAAAGCACCCAAGACTTGTAAGGGCTTCCTCAGACAACTGTGGTGCTGCTAGGTGACTACTTAGGGTTAATATAAAGATGGAAATTAGTGCCATGGCAGCTGTAAACAACAGCCATGTATTACCTGGAGGAAAAATGATAAAAAATATTAATCTTAGAATTTTAAGCATTGATATTTAAAAAAGACAAAATTAAAATTTATCCTCAATAGCACATCAATAACTTACTTTCAAACCTGTCTTTCATAACCATTGAAGTAAAGCACAAAGTGATCAATGAATGAAAGTGGTCATTTGGTAATTTTGTTTAGTGATGCTAAACATTATGCTGTGCACTTGTCATCCCAAATCTCTAATTTTACCCTAGAAACAGCAACAATAACATCTGTCTCTAGAGGCAACTAAACATGTGATAGTACAGTCTGACACGACCACAACTATGCAATCTCCAATGAAATGTTTTAGGTTGACTTGTTATGTAGGATATTTTGGCAGGACTTGCGGGAGTGTGGTATACTAAGTACCGTAAAATGGGGTAACTTAAACCACTTTTTTTTAAATGATGCCATTTTTTTACTAGCTAAATTAAACTTAAATTGAAACATGCAAAATACAGGTCTATACTCTAGGTTCCCTCACCATAAATTGCTGGCTCCTGCCTCTCATAATTTTTATGTAATTTCAAAAAAAGTGATAGTCTTTGTTACCCCAGCTCTTGGGGTATCTTAGACTGGGTGGTAAAATCAGTTATATTTTTTTGTAAAATAACTCCAGGTTTTGGTGCATTGTAGTAGAACTCTACTAGTTACATATGCAAATGACAAATTTGAGGAAAGTGTCATAGTTTGCAAATGGGGGAACTTAGACCACCTAATGTCAGCCATGAAGAGGTAATATTGACGGGCTTGGAAATTAAGCAAAAATTACCATATATAAGACTGTAGTCTGAAACATAAAGAAAAAACGTAATAGGTGTATCAAACATGAAATATGTTATATAAGGTAATTTTAAATTAATTTCCAAGCCGGTCTATGTTGCCCCGTCAGGGCTGACATTAGGTGGTCTAAGTTCCCCCATTTGCAAACTATGACACTTTCCTAAAATTTGTCATTTGCATATGTAACCAAAAGAGTTCTACTACAATGCACCAAAACCTGGAGTTGTTTTACCAAAAAAAAAAAAATTGGAAGGGGTACTCCGACAGGCTTTAAATAATAGCTTTTTTTTGTGGGTCACATCTTTAATTTTTTAACCTATTAGATATAACTTTTTAAATCTTTCTATTGTGTTACATAGCCTCAGTATTAGGCCTTTAATGCCCATTGACAAAAATTTGTTATGTCAAATAGTTTTCAAGTTTTGGGGGTTTTTGTTAAAAAACAAACAGTGGTCTAAGTTACCCCGGGAGTCTAAGTTACCCAATTTTATGGTACCTACTTTGGAAGTTGAAAATATTATGAAATGACACGTTTGTGAACCGTGATTTATTCAATCTACAAAAATACACAACAGTAGAGCTGAGAGATTTCATACCTAATGAAATTATATGATAATAGAGCCACCATATTCCAGAAAAAAGTAGACATTTCCCTAACTAGGGTTGACTCATTTTGCAGAATATTTTGGTGGATGCGCAGTACTAATTACTGTGGAAGTTGAAAATTTTGTGAAATGATACGTTTGTGAACTGCAAATTCTTCAATCAAATCAAAATACATTTAATTAATTTACATAAATGCAGCATCCGCCGAGTGCCAAATGGCAACCTTTACTGACCTCTATGTCACAGTGATGACGCTGATAGACCGGTTACTGGCTAGTGAGGAAAATATCTACTCTCTGAAGCTCTGACCCACAATTGTATTTTTTGTACCATGGTTTTATGAATTTGCAATCAGTGAAACCATTTTTTCAAGCCAGCCTTAGCCAGGAATTCCAAATCTCAGCCATCGTTGGCTATGAAGAGCCATTTACAAGCTACCAACTCATTTACTAAGTCTTGTGCATGGGTTACCACTTACCCCAAATGTTTAATTTTACCCTAGAAAAAGAAACAATAACATATGTCTTTACTTTAGTGGCAACTGAACACGTGATAATGCAGTGCAACTTGCAAGCATGGAAAGCCTTTAACATTAGGCTTTAGGACCGTGACTAGAGCTTTTCCACCATATCTGGGAGATTCCTGCCATAAAAATTACCTATCTAATTGTTAACAATAGTGCCAATCAGGCTGCAAGATTCCAGACATATTGAAATTTCATCACGTTGGAGTTGCAAGATTTCAGAAACTAGAAGGAAAATTCCAATCCTGATTGCAGTCTAACCCCTCTGACACGAAGACTGCAACTATGCAATCTTCCAGAAAACTTTTTAAGTTGATTTGTTATCATGAAATTATGCAGGATATTTCAAATGGCAGGAGTGTTTAAGCACTGCAGAAGTTGAAAATTTTATGAAATGAAATGTTTGCAAAATGCAAATTGCAATTTTTTTGATCAAACAAAAATACATGACATTAGAGCCACAAGATTTCACACCTACTGAAATTATGTGATATTGGAGATGAAATATTTTAGAAAAAGTAGGATTTTTCCCAACTAGGTTACTGAATACAATGCCTAGATGCCTACCACTACCAGTACTCTAGTAGCAGTAGGGCTAGGCCAGTAGTGAAACTAGTGCCAAAAAATTAGAGTCTCAGTTGACCGTTGACTCAGCCACTGGCCCACAATGCAGATTGCAGAATGCAGAGGTTGCAAGATGCAAATTGTATTGCAAAGGTGAGGTTTGGCTTTGGGGCATCCCGGCCCCAGGCATGGTGACTCTGAATCTGAAAAGGAAAATTCAAGACACTGGCAGACTGCAGACATAGTGGCAAAGAAGAACATTTTTTGTTGCTCTTCCTAAGGTCATTTTGGACTTTGGAGTCATATATTATAAATATAGGCTACCTATATATATACAAGTGTGGAAAACATCTATATGTGGTATATATGTTCATAAACATTTCCTAGCCTATTAGGCCTTAGGCAATAGGCATTACGCATTAGACGATTAGCCTTCCTTATTTATAGTCACACCCTTGCTTGACTTGATATCAAATAGCAAAGCTATATAAGCTCTGTCTCAAGCAATCACCTTCAGAGTAGACAAGAACAGTCATGTGTATTGTGTAAGCCCTTAGGTCAAGAAAAGTCATGTGTAAGACTGTAAGCCTTCCTCCTATCCATGTTTAAGGATAGGAAAGTCAACTGGAAGCCGAAGACATCAATGTCAACCCTTTATGGCCCAGGTGTACCGTACAGTTGCCTTTCAAACATGTTCTGCAGTATTAAAATTGTGACCAGAATTTGGTGCCAGTAGCTTTGAATGCGTTTGATACGCGTCACTGTTTCATTTTGGTGGTGCAACTCTGCTCGGTGCCACCAACTACTCAGTACAGCACTGAACTTGTTGAGAAGCTGAAGGTGCAATTCTTTTCCTTAACTTTCATGATCTTTATTGGACCATGGTGGGAAACTCGGGTGAGTTGTAGGCTAGAGATAATTCTATATTTGTTATAGTGCTATAGGGAGTGCATATGCAGAATTTAGTGTTAAAATAACAATTATATACCATATATTTTACCATGTTTCCAAAGGTGACGACTGCTCAGTACAGTTGGACTTACAACTGCTCTGTTTGAAACGTGACCGGTGAGTCAAGTTAGGCCTATGAGCATACAAGTAAGGAGTTGTTATGCAAAATAATTGTGTTTGCATTACTATTATTTGATTTACTGCCTTTCTAAATGTTTTGATAAAACATGGAATCTATAAATTATCTGGCACAGTTTTCATAAAAAGTTCTCATATATTCAAATTATTTATGGTGCTATGGAGGTGCAGGAATTTTTTATAAGCTTCCTGTACCTACTTGCTTTCCATTCACGGGATTTAATTTAATCATGTGTTTTTTTGAAGGCATATATATTAAACAGCCAATATTCAGTAACCCCAGTAATAACTTCTCACAACATGGACAGATATTGCATTAGTTGAGTTTACCTATTTGATATCTCTATACACAGGCCTAGGGATCAAATTATTGTAGTGTGCTCATCATATTTTTTGTTTTTTTAGAATCCTTTGCGGGCTTCAGTACAAAAACATTTTTTTCTTCAAGAAAACTTGCGAGTTGATGTGAACAACATCTGGCTACCTCATACTCCAGTGAACCTGAAGAAGACTCAGAGGATATTTTGGACCCACAGTTCACAATAATGCTAGAAACAAGTTCCTATAGCAAGTTTGAAGAAGAAAACGAATTGCTCTTGATTGAAATTAACAGTATAGAAGGCAGGGGAAAACTCTCAACAACGTAATAGAAAGGTGCCAACGAGAATATTTTGGAATAAAATTGAAAATTGTCACTCATCTTACAACATTCCTCCATTTTCTCATGCTCCTGATGTTGACACAGTTCTGGAAGCTCCTCTGACTCTTTTCAAATCCTTCATTTCCAATGATGTTATTGAAGAAATTTGCTACCAAACCAACTTGTACACAATGCAAAAAAAAACTGTCAAAGCCCCTCAACCTTACCCCACTAGAATTATCGCAGTGGATAGGGATAAGCATGCAAATGTCTATTACTAGGATGATGCATACATGGCTTCATTGGGCAAAATATTCCTTGAATTAAAAGATATCTTCCGTAATGTCTCGCAAAAGGTGGGAAGATATCAAAGCTAATCTTCATCTTGTAGACAATGACACTTTGGATTTAACAGACAAGCTAGCAAAGGTGAGATTTCTTCTGAATGCATTACGCGAAAAATGCAAAAAAATAACAATGGAAGAACATCAAGCTGTGGACGAACAAATGGTTCCCTTCAAAGGAGTTTTCACCTAAGCAATACATTCCCAAAAAAACCATCAAAATGGGGCTATAAGATTTTCGTCTTAGCTGGTAGCTTTGGTATGGTGTATGACTTCATTCCCTACATTGGCAAAATTATTCTGGTTGCACGCTTCGGAATTCCTGACCTTGGTACAAGCACGAACTCTGTTCGTCAGCTTGCCAAGTGCATTCCTGATGGAAGACACTATGAACTCTACTTTGACAACTGGTTTTC